ACGACCAATGGAATTGCCTTTTATAACATTCCCATAAATAACTTTCTATTAAATATATTAACTAAATGTCTTTTTTCTTTTTTGCCATTTATAGGAATATTTCTCCTGAATGTATTATTTCCTGGTGTGGAAATTCCACAAATTCCATATTTTATGCATACTTATTGGAGATGATAATAGAATGAATTGCGTTTTGAGGGCATTCTATAATAAGAATACGAGTTGAATCTATATACGTAAGTAAATTATTTCTTTTAAATTCGTAACAATGTGTTCTGATTTAATTTAAAAGAAACGGTTATTTTCAGTTAGTTTCTTCATTTAACTCTTCGTGACGAATTTACGGTTCAAGCAAATTCTAATGATGTAAAATGTACTTCACTTACTTACTTCAAATTTATATAAATTACTTTGCACGTATGTGTTGTTTCTCTTTTGAAAGTTAACCACATAAATGTCACTCTCGATTTGTTCCGTTCGATGCAGGCATCACGTAAAAGTGTTGAAGGAGGACGATCCATTTATTAACGCAAGCAATATGTCTTTGTGGTTACTGACGTATACGATGACGTAGCCGGCGATACAATAACTACGGCTTAGGTATTACATTTGACAGCCAAACAAGTCATATTTAATTTGATTTGAAGCGAACTTAAATATCCAAAATAAGAAAAAGTCATTCATCAAAAATAAAGTGAAATCTTTCACGCAGGCATTGGCATACATACGTTATAAGTGAAGTGATGAGCAAAAAAGTAATTTTTTATTTCTTTTGACAAAAAAAATAAAAAGCTACCTCCACTTTACATCGTACTTCAGGCGTATCCTTCAAGTGATTTAGTCTATTTTTAATACCAACCTGCATGCAATAACTTCCAATGTCTCTGCCAAATTTGCAATCGATAGCTTCATTTTTGGGGCCAGGAGACTGTTTACAACAGACATTACGCAGGCGAACGGACCGATTGACATGCTTAAATCGACGCAGAATTTGAAGCTGATCAAGAATATATTTGCTTTGTGGCGCCTCTGATGCTTTCTTCTGAGCGTTGCAAACGTTTTGGCAAAACGATTATACTTGTTATACTTCGGTGAAGTGTAAACAAATCATAAATCAATCAGAAGATCTCTTTTGCTAAGATCTTGCGAAATAGAAATGAAATGCTTTGACCTTTCCAGAAGCATGTGACCATTGGCAGCTTAATATGGAGCTAAAAAAACAAATCTGTATTTGTTGCACACTGAAGAACATGAAACATAAGCACCTTTGCTCTATTGCTAATTACATCTGCAAAAACGATGCAGATATATAGGACGATGTGATATTTTCGCGTTTATGATAGCTGTTCATGTTGATTGTATTCGATTTGGTTTTTTGAATTTCACTTGTAGATGAAAATATTGAATAAAAAAAAATATTGAGTTCTATGCCAGATGCTGATGCCTGTTGCAAGTATAACGGCGATGATAGCCCACTGTCAAGAATGAAAAACTAGCAATAGCAAAAAACGTTTAAAGAGGAGCATTGCCTCGATATTATTGCCCATCAATGTCATTCGCTGACGAAATGGTTTATAAAAACAAAAAAATCGGTGTTACAATGTCGTCCATTTAGCCCCGGGGGTTAAATACGTTTTATGCATCTATTTTAATTTTCGTTGTTGACTATGAAACCGATTAAAAGCCGCTTCTTTTCGAACGATTTCAATCTAACTCCAAAAGGATTTCGCACAAAGCAAAAAAAAAAATTCATCTAACATTCTCGACTAAGAAAAGATAAACAAAAATCGAGAGATTTTTCTTTAAGAAAAAATTTCATGTAAGACATGAAAATCTATTTGATTGAAAAACAATTAAGAAAATTAAATTCGGTCGTGACCGAATCTTTTTTTTTTTATAACCCTCACTGTTATCCTAAAAAAGATTCAAAAAAAAAACAAAAAAAAAACACAGAAAAGAACTAAACTTTCATGCTCTATAACATTGGATGGTCGCAGCTGATTTCTTCTATTTTCAAAATAAAAGTGAAAATATATATGATATACATGTTGTCTTGTTTGTGTATGAATAACAAGAAAAAAAACCCGGAACGCAAAGGTATTCTCAGTTCACGGAGGGCTGTGGACATCTCGTTCGTCCGATTTGGCCCATTTTCAATACCGAGCTGCCAAATTTGCAGTCAACAGCTTCATGTTTATGCTTACAACAAATATTACACAGTCGGATGGACAGACGTACATGCTCACATCGATTCAGAATTTGATAGAATTGTGCTGTCACTAAGTGTTGCAAACGTTTTGACAAAGGGAATATACTCCTCGTCAACGTTTGCAATGAAAAGACATCGTTAATGAAATGTCATATCGGTTATCTTATACCTTTGAAAAAGTATTGTAGAAGAATTTTTTTCGATCAAGAAGAATTTCGATTAGCAGGAATATTGTGTAAAAAAGTTTACTTAGTTAAATGAAAAGTATTGCACTAACTCAATATATCGTATGTAACATTGTATTCAACACTAATCCATCCGATTAAATTCTCTTGCGAGCAGACTGTTACTGTTACGCTAAAAAAGTGCAACGCAATGCAGTGAATAAACAGTGTGTTCATGTGCCAGAGAGAGATTTTTTTCTAATTACTTTTAATTATTTCAAATGATTCGAATTTACTTACATCCGAAATATTGTTCTCGAGAATATATGATATCTTTTAACAATAAAACAATAAATGAATGAAAAATTTTTGCTTCTATTCTCCGAATGCATACAACACGCACACAAAACTCAATTTCTCAAAATCATTTTTTGTTTAATTTTATCGAGAAAATTTTCTACATATTTACTTACGCACACATAGACATTGCTCTCACATTTCTTCGATTGTAATATTTTTCCTTCTTGCGTACAGCAAATGCTTTAATGCTTTTAGTTACTCGTGTATTTTGCATAAATTTATTTTTAAATTCAATTTAGAAAATACAACGGAAATCATTATAAGATTCGCTATTTACATATCGTTTACCCACGATATATTAATATCTATCTGTATTTTATGAAGATGTTAAGCAAACAAAAAAACGTTAAAGGGAAGCAATTTAAATCGATAACCTCACTAAAGTGATAATCCTTGGAAAAAAAAAAAAAAATGGTGAAATGTAATTATTATACGATTCGCTACTGCTAACTGATATTATTTACTGCAAACAAGTAAGTCACTGCTTGATCTTGAAATACTTATTTAAAACATTTTAAAAAATTGTTTAACGTGATTTTGAGGTGATTTTAAGATCATGCAAAATTTATAAATAAACTGAGTTAAGTTAACAGAAGAGAATGCCATGAAATTGTAATAGGAAAACGGCATGCCCTAGACAATATAACTTTTAGTTAACAGCAACATAATAATAATGACTGCAATATAGCGATTTACAGTAGTATAAGTAATATATTTAGAAAGAATCGATTTTGTTAAAAAAAATTAATTACAAAATCTATTTACATATGAATTTTATTTCAATAAATATACCAACGTAAAT